GTCGTAGTAGCAGTAGGTAGTGGTAGTAGAAGTAGTAGTATCAATAGTGGTAGTAGTGGTAATAGTAGTAGTAGCAGTAGTAGTCGTCGTCGCAGTAGTAGTAGTAGTAGTAGTTGTTGTTGTTGTTGTACTATTTGGAAGTAGTAGTAGTAGTAGTAGTAGTAGTAGTAGTAGTAGCAGTAGCAGTAGCAGCAGTAGCAGTAGCAGTAGCAGTAGCAGCGGCAGCAATAGCAGCAGGTAGCTTCTTGACCTGAGCCCAACCCCTCTTTCGCTTCTGTTTGCGCTGAGGTTCTGTGCCGGGCCTGTCATGCCGTGGCTGGAAAGCTTATGCTCTGTGCAGGCTCGGCTGAAGTTGAGGTAGGGTTTGGGGATGGGAAGTAGACAGGCACTGCTTCCTTTCCAGCGTTGCCTTTTTGTGTGCGGGAAGACGTTAGCTTGTCTGATGCAGGGGAGGGTGAGTGGGTGATGTGTGAGCTCTGCCAAGAGCTATGAACCATAAAAGCTGGTAATCGACGTGATCCCTTTAGCAGCAGACCCTCAGCTTAGACTTACAACTCGGTTGCAACAGCCCTTGACAGACTCTGAGCGTATGAACATGCAAGAGCAATGCCGGGAAGGATAACCCTAGCTTGTTGTGTTCGTCTTGTAACAGGGCAGTTCATGGTTGTGAGGCCTGGAAATCATCGCTAAGCAAGTTAAATGGGTGGTTGCAAGTTGGCGGGTCCTGGTACCGCGTCCTTTGTCTTGACCCCAACCCCCGACCCTGAACAGAAAGCCAGGCCACAAATGAATTGCCAACTTCGCGGCCCCATCTTAGGGTTTATGGGCAACCTGAGCAAAGAGCATGGCAGCCGGGAACATTGTAGCCATGTCATTGCCGTCCCCACCCCAGGCCTCAGTCCATGACGCCTTTAAAGAACATGGCGATACGGGATCGGGTTTCTAGGCTTTGAGGGTGTATGGTTTAGGGTTTTGTGCCTGCGTTCGAAACTCTGAAACCCTGAATCCTTCACCTAAACCCTAAACCCTAAGCCCCAAACTCTAAAACCCTGAATCCTTCGATGTGTAGCACCTGGTTTGGCCTCGATCAGGGGTTCTTCGTCTTCGACCGGTCAGATTCGAGCCATTGGTCCTACGATCCTTTTCTACAAGAGCAGATGGTTTAGGGTTAAGAGGTTAGGGGGTTTTGGGTTTGGGGTTCAGGGTTTAGGGTTCAGTAGATGATGTTGCATACTGTTGCCGGGACACCACAAAGCCTGATCTCTTCCAACCAAGCCCCTCAAAAACTGAGAGCGGTAATGTTGCAACCTCTATTTCAGACTCGGCTATCAGGCCGCCTAAGTCAGCTCTACCTGTGGTTTGGGGTTTAGGGTTTAGGCTTACTACGAGGGTTCCTGCCATGGGTTTAGGGTTCAGAGGGGTTCCGGGCATCAGGTTTCAGAAGTCAGCCCGTTTGGACCTGAGAGCTATGCCTCTGGACCTATTACAACTTCCGGAGGCGCATGCTCTCAATAAAGCATACATCCTTACAAAGGATATTCAGGCCCCAGACAGATTACAGAATAGCCCAGGTTCAGGGCTTGACTTCTTCAAGATAGAGGGCTGTTGCCGCCTCGCAGCCGCGAGGTCGAAGAAGGAACATGGAGGGCGGGGATTCGGCCACTTTGGGATTCTGTTTCTGGTGCCCACCACGCCCCTTTTGTTGTCACGCCTCCTCAGCTGAAATCGTGAAAGATTTAGGGTTCAGGGTTTAGGGTTTAAACCCTTGACCCTAAACCCTAAACCCTACATTTAGGGTTTAAACCCTAAACCCCTTGACCCTAAACCCTAAACCCTACATTTAGGGTTTAGGGGTTTGGGCTTAGGGCAGCAAAGCTGCAAGGAGTAGTGAGGGCCTCGAGTTCAGGAAGACGCTTTCGTCCTCAGTGCCGAAGCTCTGGACCAAGAGCCATGGAACCCCTAAACCCTAAACCCCAAACCCCTAAACCCCCAAACCCCCAAACCCCCAAACCCCTGAACCCCTAAACCCTAAACCCCAGACGCCTAAACCCCCAAACCCCCAAACCCCTGAACCCTAAACCCTAAACCCCTAAACCCCTAAACCCTATGAGTGGCCCAGGATCCTTTTCTTTCGGAAGGCCTCCGGCTCAGCAGCCGCTTGACTCATCGAGGCCTCTAAGGTTGGTTTAGGGTTTAGGGTTTAGGGTTTAGGGTTTAGGGTTTAGGGTTTAGGGTTTAGGGTTTAGGGTTTAGGGTCCCCTAATATGGACCCTTATATAGGCCTTTCTGGGGACCCTTAAGGGTACATATAGGGTATATAGTAGGCATATAAGGATCCCACCCTTAAGGGCCCATACTAGGGGCCCATGGTTTCAACCTTAGAAGGTCTCTATGGCTTTCTACAATGTTCACGGTGTCGGATTTAGGGCTTTGCGCTTAGGGTTCAGGGTTTAGGGT